CCGCTCTCTCGGTTTTTTCCTGTTATTTTCTAGATGTGTAGATTTGTATTCATCCCATCTTGCAAGTTATCTCGTCATTGTTTTTGACGGTCAGATCTGCTCAGAACTGGCACCGACAGCCCTGCCTACCCGCTCTGGTCCTGTGGTGGGGACCTGGGCCTGGAGCCTTCTCCCGGTCAGGCACAGCAAGACGTCTCTAACGGACGACCTATGCGCCCCCGATTGTCACGTGCGTGGGCCCTTTCACGGGGCCCCTAGGAAGTGTGTTTCCCGAGAGTCTCCACTGACACGTCTGAGTCAGAATCCGAGTTCACTTGTTTGACTCTGTATCTCCCAGTGCAGGCAGAGGATGGTGACGTAAACAAGCGTGCAGTCAGTGACAGCCAAAAGCAATGTGATGTTTGGTTGCTGGGTGAACATTTGGTTATTGTCCCTGGGATGATGTTGATCTGAAGCCAGGGTTTACCCCCATGCGGAATCGGCCGCCTGTCCTGTGTTGTCTGCGGCGGCTGTCAGCCCTGGAGTCACTAATGGTTCTTCTTTTTCATAATTCGTCATCAACCTTTCCTGGCTCCTCTTCTGTCCCTTGTCCTGGCTGCCACCCAGCCCAGACTTCCCGCTCTGCTCCCTGCTGCTCCCCCGCGCACAGCCGCCACGCCAGGGGCCAGGGTCCCTCTCCCCAGCCCTCTGCACAGCACACACCTCAGAACTGTGCCCTGCAGGTGTCCGACTTCCGGGAGCAGCTGCTGGCCTGCGCCGGGGTGGAAGCAGAGCGCGTGGTGGAGTTTTCCTGCGGTGAGCGGCCGTGTTCGGGATGGCGGGGGCGAGACCCTGCGTGGCGACCTCTGTTCACCCGGCTTCACTTGCTGGGCCCCGGGCGTGGATACCACAGGGTGTCCTGTCACCCGCTGTCTTCCTGCCCTCACTCTGTGACCCTCCTTCTGCAGTGTCCACCTTTACTGTAGCTGAGGGCCCGAGTGTGGGTTGAAAACCCTCTTCCTGGTCTGGGACACGGGTGGGAGACCCCTCCCTGAATCCAGCCCCTCTGGGTGCCACCAGGTCACGTGATCCCGCCAGACAACATCCTGCCCCTGGTCCTCTGTGGCGGGCCCACCGAGCAGCAGCTGGAGTTCACCTACCAGAAGAGAGAGCTGCCTGCTATGGTGGGTGCAGCTGGGGGCTCCGGCAGTGCGGGCATTGGGGAAGTTGGCACTGAGGCACCCGTGCAGCTGGCACTGGATGAATGGCATCTCCAGGTGCTCCTCGGGGAAGGCGTGGGCTGCCCGCCCTTTAGCCACTACGTGCTCTCCCTCAGCCCTCCAGGTGTCCCTTTAGGACCCAGTGAGTGAGGAGGCTGCCCGTTCTTAGCCCCAGGCAGGGTGCAGGTCTGGGACGCGTCTCCAGCCACCTACTACGTGGGAACAGTGCCTCCCTTGTCGTGGATGCTGTCAGGACGCAGGAGCTGGGGCACTCGGGGGCCCGGCTTCTCTTTTCGGTGCTGGTGTTGGGACTTGTGTCTGGAGGACAGGCTGGCACACCCGCCTTCCGATTCCTCTCGGGGCCGGGTGGCCGCTGTCCTCCCGGGCCCAGGCATGTCCTGGGTAGAGCTCTGCCTCGGCTTGGAGCCCGGGGCGTGTGGTGTCTGGAGGGCGGCTCCA